TTGTGATATTTGCTCAAGATCAAAAACTCCTTATCATCTACCTCACAGACTTCTTCAGCCATTATCCATTTCAGAACAACCATAGTCTTCTATTTCCATGGATTTTATCACGGATCTTCGAATCTCAGATTTTTATGGCTCTATATTCATGATAGTAGATCATTTTACCAAGATGGCACATTTTGTACCATGTACAAAATCTATCACAAGTGAAGAAATAGCTAAGCTCTTTCTTGATAATATCTATCACTATCATGGATTATCCAAGGATATTCTATCAGATATGAGAAATCAATTTGGATCAAGATTTTGGCGAACTCTTTTCAAGATTCTAAAAATGAATATAAAACTATCTTCGGCATTCCATCCTCAAATTGATGGACAAACAAAGCATGGTAATCAAGTTTTACAGCAGTATTTAAGATGTACCATTAACTACCAATAAGATGATTGGACAACTCTTTTGTCATTGGCAGAGTTTACTTACAATAATATGATACATTCTTCTACAAAAAAAAACACTTTTCTTTGCCAATTATGGTTATCATCTATGACTTGATACTTTTGTTTTTTCAAAAGTTGATAATCCTACAGCAAAAGATTTGGCAAATCATTTGTCAGAGCTACATACAAAAATAAATGCTCAGTTATAAGAAGCTCAAGAATAACAAAAGATCAATGCAGATGTCTATTGAAAGAAACAACCACCATTCCACATGGATGACAAGGTATGGTTACTTCGTCGCAATATGAAGACCACTTGTCTTTGTGACAAGTTGGACTATCAAAGGCTTGGACCATTTTCTATTTCTGCACAAATCAATCTAATTGCATATCGTTTATACCTATCGGAGTTAATAAAAATCCATCTAGTATTCCACGTTTCTCTTCTTGAACCATACAAGATAGTGGACGTATCAAGAAGAAGACAAGCTCTACCTCCTCCTATAGAAGTAGACAATAATGAAGTGTTTGAAGTAGAAGAAGTCTTAGATTCAAGGTGATGCCGAAATAAATTAGAATATCTTGTCTATTGATACGAATATGGTATTAGTGAATACACATAGGAGCCAGTAAAGAATCTTGCAAATGGAACAAAGGCGATGCATGCTTTTCATCGACGACATCGATCAAAATCAAGATGAAAATCTTCTTTATAAAAGAAACAAGATCTAAGCAAGATAACATTCTACTTTCAATCATTGTTTGTAGCTTCTTTGTAGTTGTGACGCTAAGAAAATGAAGAACCAACAACCAGAGGATTCGATTCAAGAGCCTTTGTTTGCTGACTTGTCGGACAAGATATTATGACTGTCACAACCTTGAAGATGACAGAATCGAGATAAAGATCTTCAAGAACTATATGTTCTTCCTTGAATAGATGGCCAGATATGACGCGTTTGGTATTACGACCTTGGAAGGGACTCTCGATGTTTGTTGATTTTACTAGAAGTAAGAATAATTCTTGATGGTATTCCAAATGTTTTATTTGAAAGAAATTATGAAGGCCTCAACAACAATCAAATAACTGGGTGGTCTTCCTGCCCTAGTATGGGACACTACCAATACTTGAAAGGCTTATCAATCATCTTCAAAGAGAATAAAGATCAAAGTATGATGCGAATATAATTTGTCGCATCATAGATTTCTTCAACATATGATGACCGCTCCTCGTAGAACTCGTCCCTAGAAAGAGGGATAATGTCACGAACATACGCATGTAAGCCAGTAATTACATATATAAATAGGTAGAAGTAAGTAAAAGTAGATAAAAGTAAGTTAATTCTATAATATTTGTTATAAAAGCTTTGTAGAATTTTCATAGATGCTGCCTTGACTTTATAGGTATCTTTAATTGACTTTTTGGATTAGAAACATGATCAACAAGTTGGCCATGTGCCACACATGATGTTAGCTTGAAGACCAAGCTACCTATGTGGTCCACAAGTAGAAAAACTGGCCTTCTAAGTCAAGGCATGTGTCCTACAAAGTCAACACATATTGGAGGTCCTATAGAACATCGCCACATAGCTCCTAGTTAGATAGTATACATAGAAACAAGAGTGAAGCCTTCTTCACTCCTGTCAACTCGTTTGTTGCTTCTAGTCTAATTTCAAGGGTCTCTAGTTTTCTTGGCTTTTGGCAATAGCCATTCCAGTTTCTTTTTTAATATACATATCAAGTTATTTCTATTTTATCATCTTTTTTTGAGAGAAGTCTCACTTGTTTACTTATTTTTATCATATTTTTGTCCTTAACACATTACCAAACATAATTTATGCAATTACAACAAATAACTATAAGAGAATAATTAACAAATAATCTACAAAATGTAATATTTGGAGAGTTGAAGTACTAAGCTATATTAGAGCAAAAAGTCTTGTCTTCACTACTAGCAACAAATGGAATTTAATTAAATAAAAAGCAACATCAATAAAGTTTAAATTCCAACTCTAGTAGCTCTAGCAGCTTCTCAACATTGACAATAGTTCAATAGTAATGGAGCCCTAATAAGCAGATCATCTAAAAATAAATAAATAAATAAATAAATAATCATTCAAAAATATCTAATTTCATTCAAATTGACATTCATCTATGGGACTATTCATTTAGACTAATGTTTATCTCCAATATTGTTCATCTAGATTGATGCTCATCCATGGTACTATTCATCCAACTTTAATATTCATCCATAGTATTATTCATCCATGGTACTATTCATCCAATTTTGATGTTTATTTGTAGCATTATTCATCTAAATTCATGTTCATCTATGGCACTATTCATCCAACTTTGATATCATGTTGCAAAAACAATATGAAAGAATGAAAGTAAGATGGATATTATTTGTTGGTAACAAAAGGTGCCAAAAACCAAGGAAAAGATACTTCCTATATTTTAATTAAGAGCTGGATAAGTCACAGCTTTCAATATGTATAATATGGGATATTCAATAGCCATGAAAATTTGACATAATCTCACAGTATGCAAAGAAAGACTCATCACTTTTAAAAGCACTCTCAACACATTGAGCTTCTCGATGCAAATGCAAGCTTATGCTTCAAAATATAAATACACATTTCATCAAAAACCTTTATGTTTTTAAAAATAAAAATAAAAAAATATTTTTTATACTTCTATTTCTAATAAAATAACTTAAAATTTATTTTTATTTTCATGTTGTCTATTAGTAAATTAAAAAAATCTAAAAATATTTTATCTCATCGAACATTCTAAAATTTGATTACATAATCAAATCTTTTTACATTTGCATTAACCACCATCTTTTAATGACTTCTCATCCAAAGTTCCAAATGAATTTTATTACATTCTAAATTTTCAAAGTCACAAAGTAGCATTTTTAATTCCAATCTTGACTTAAAGCTTACAAACCCCAAGTATCATCAACCAATGGATCCCTCTTGTCTACATTGAAATTGTGGATATTTTATAAAGCAAAATGCATTCCATGACATGAATTAAATTTACTTCTTACAAAAAATTGGATAAAATTTGATGAAAATGAATTAAATTTACTTCTTACAAAAAATTGGATAAAATTTGATGAAATTAGACAGAATTTTTTCAATAAGATGGCACATTTTGTACCATGACAATTTGGTCATTGGCACCAAGTGTTGTTGTAATATCTAAAATAAATAAAGGAATGTTGCTGCCTTGTTGCAAACAGCGCCACAGTTGCAAGCTAAAATTTTCATGCAGGTGAACACAGTACATTCTTGCATGTGTGACCATCTTGTGTGTGTAGACAGACGCCGAGCAAACTCTGAGCAAACTGGAGCAGGTCTTCACGGACTGTTGTCATTCGGTACAATGTGGCGAGAGCTGTGAGCAGGGACCTTAATGAGGTTTGCAGAGAGAGAGCAGGAGTGTACAGTGTGCTTTGTATGGATCCACAACATAAGCTGGCTGTTGCACGCAGCAAAGACAATGACCTAGTCTGCTCCACTTCCAAGTTGGCATGCCACAGATTTGGAACTCAGTGCGGCGGATCAAGTTTGGTGGTATGACATGTTCTGTACCTCGTACAATGCCCCACCGTTGTCACGGTTCTGACGTGGGGCTGGTGCAGCAGGTATAGTTTTTTTCTGGAACAGAAGACGCGGGTGTGGTGCTATGCGTTGGGATGAGCCCTCATTACGGTTCGCTTCATGCACCGGGGTTGCGAACCCAGCAGCGTGGGCAGGTGAGGGTTCAGCAGCACCTGATGGCCGGTTGTGGACGCCAAGAGTTCTGCTGGAGGAGGGTGTTCTGGTTGCGGGTGCGTTGTCTTTGATCACTTTGCAAGTAATTGTGACACAATGAGTTTGTGTAACGCGATGCGGAGAAGTGGGTCACAACTTTGTGTCGAAAGAATTATTCTTTATTGTTGTGAATCTTTAATCCATCCACTTTCTGAATCAGTACAACAAATACGAACTACCACAATGTAGAGTCTCTACCACATCCACCAACTCTTGTGATTATCTCTATTCATGCATGATTGCTGCTGAATTTCCAAACCTTGCTTCGTACTTTGGGGCATGTGTTAACGTGAAGACTCGCTTCAAATTTTTTTGGCGTTGACGAAGTAAACTTCGATACTTCATATTCCCAAAATTAGAATCAAAGATATGCTTCCATTCATAACTGAGTTTTAGAATGAACCATCTTTGGCAAAAGTATGTTTCAACACTAAAAAGTAAATATTTGCATATAGAATACTGTCTTATTGCCTTTTTTTAAAATTCATTTCAAATCACGTTTACATTCACCCAATATTTCAAGACTAATCGGGTAAGTTGAACTTTAGATGTAAGAAAAAAAATGCACTCGAGGAATCAATATTTGATTATATCTGTTGTATTATTGAATTCAAAAGTGAATCAAAGATCACAAGTTTACTGATGCAATTTTTGCCACATTGCTAGTTTCAATTTTTCATGATATTAAAAGAGGAATCAAGAGAAAACAATGAGATTCCATTTCGAACAACTTTGGAAAGAAAAACATCCTGAGTCCATTTATGGTAACCTTAGAAGATATTTATTAGCCTCACCATTAATTTGTGACTGTCAAATCATCACTAACTTGTTCTTGGTAATCAGAGTAATCCCCGGTTAATGTGCTGAGTGTACACTGCTCAGCAAAAGTGATAAACAGTTTTCACTGGTCCAAACAACTTACGCCCTCATACCACGTAGAAGAACACACAATTTGCCTCGCCTATTAGGACATCCTGAATGTAGCAGAGATGACGCTCTACAGCTTTTGTACCACAGCTTAGTAGCGGGCTCTTGGGTGCTTCTCCTCACAAACTAGAACCTGCTCATGAGTTCACTACAGGTTGCATCTAATCCGAGCATAAAATCGAAGATTCCTCTAAAATGCTTTTCCTGAATATATCAATCCTGTATACATATTCAGTTGAAGGACGTCTCTGCAACCTACAGTCTGAGCTGAAAGGACCTCTATAGTGATATGTAGAGCGACCAGTATGTAGCATAAAGTACATGAGAACAAAGAGCAAGACTCAGGGCAAAAGCCGGCTAGTAATCTCTGCCCCTTCTGCCACTGGCTCATCTGGGTCTAAAAAGTAAAACTTGTTAAGATCCTCCGCAGGTGCAAGCTTGTTTTTGTTGTTGAAGGCTTCAAATGTGACATTTGGTATGCAGTGACCATCAATACAAGCCACCACGATGGCTGCGACATCAATCCGAGTTATAGATCCCCTACCTTGATCACCTGTATTACAATACAAAATTTTACTTAGACTCTAAAGACTGAAGAGAAATGGTATCACCAAATGATGAGGTCCTCCTAATGCATAGAGACATCAACTCGACACTCAATTTTTTTACAGCTGCAGGACCTGTCCAACTCATCCGCACAGGTGTACACATTGCAGTTGAATATTAACTGAAACCAATTTAACAGAAATTTTTCTAGTTACCTTGTTCAAATGAGCATCCAAGAAGGCCACCCAAATTGTTACTCAGCCGCCCAGGCCTGATAATGTAGTATGATAAATCTCTAAGTCCTCCGTGCTTGTACGATCTTCTTAGAGCTTCTTCTCCCTGTGGTATAATTAGGAGAGTTCATGTTATAAACTACAAAAGTACAAGTATGATGGCAAGTCTCCAGTAAAGAGAGAATGGCACTGGTAAATTAATTCAAACCAGCCAAAATGCGGATGTGGTAAGTACAATTCCAATCAATTTCATGTTGAAATGGTTTCCTTTGAATAGGTTGGTATTTCTGTATTCTCATCTTAAAAGCATTGTCTGCTATCATGAACAACTAGCCAACAAGCATGGCATTCATCTCTTCTGTAGAATTCCCACTATGAATTCTGCTGATATCAAAATTAAAAACATATTCAAGCTTCAGTAAAATCTTACCAGAAGTTTCCAGTGAAGGGCACGTCCATGAAATATGTTTAGGCAAAATTCTCCACCACATGTCGTTGTCACTCCCGCAGCAGAGACCAGCACAAATTTTGGGACCTGCAGATAACCTGGTTAAAGATCCACAGAACGTTCCACCTCAATGTACACTTGCGGCAATTTGATTGATGAAAAAAAGATCATTCCCCAGACATACCAAAACCCCAAATCAAAGCTCCAAATGAGTTTACCCCAACAGAAGCAGCTGCTTCAGCCAAGTCCTTGACGCCTTCATATTCCACACATCGTGGACTGTCCCTGTTCCAACAAGGTAGACGACAACCTGCTCTAGCCCTTACAGTGCAAACAACTGCGTCCATTCCTTGGCAGGCTGGCACAAGAGTCTCCGGCTTCGTGACATTGCCATGAATGAAGTGCACTCTTGATGACCCATAATCTGTTTCAAAGCACAGTGTCAAGATTATGTGCAAGCACTAGGTACTAAAGCTTGAGGTCTTCAGAAATGCTCATCTTCGCTCAATGTCCAAGAATTAGCAGGATTCGAGGTCTACTAAGAATTCAACAGTAGATTCATTGATGCCCTCCAATATACTCGATGCATAGAAAATTACTGCTGAAATTTACGGTTTTCGAGCTCCTTCTCAATCAACAGGTATAAACAGCATACCAAGAGCTTTAGCTGCCCTCCGTTGATTCCGTACCAGTCCAAAAACTTGAAGCCTATCTCCTTCTGTCAGTAGCGTTTTTACCACCTGCCAAATGCTCCGATTCCATCACCCTACGTATTCAAACTCAAGAAAGAAATGCCACAGAAATGTTACAAGAATCCAGTATTATGCTGGCTGTAGCCAACTCAAAGATGAGGCAAATTAATGTGTCTTTTGTTTTTTTTTTCCAATCCACTACATGAAAAGGCGGAGAAAACTATACCCTACACTCCACGAAAGTGCATGTTATTTAAGTTAGTCTAAGAAACAAGGCAACTTCTAAATGAACATTTTGTAATGTGTCTCCAGGCTTATCAAAGAAATGGCGTTCCGTTATATCTGCATTACACAGACTGATTAAGTATTTTCTACAATTTTCTAGTTTATTTTAAAATTAAGTTCTCCACATAAACAGAACACTAAAGCTATACCTCGAGGCCTACTCCACTGCTGCAACCCACGACGAGAACTCGGATTCTGTTACTCGCCATAGCAGCTGCAGACGTAAAACTTCACACACTCTCTACACACAAAATGCCAATAGTTAGAAAGCACTGACTTCTGCAAGAAGCAATCATTCTACTTACACATCAAAATTGTCAACTCAAAAGTACACATCTCCCAGTTACTACGCGCTTCCACTTTTTATGCAAGACTGCTGAACGTGATCCCACTAAGGAGAGTCAAGGACATGAATCAACTCGAATACAAACACCAGAGAAATGTAGAATTACCCACTTGTCAAGTCATTGTTGTTGATCCCAAATCGAGCATCCATTTTCAGAACAAAAAACTACCCCAGCACCCCTAAAGAATCTCATCTAACTATCATTGACAAGAAAACTAATGCAATTGCTCAGAACGTGCAAAATCATCACTCAACCTCCGTTTCAATGCCGAATTCTTCACAGCTCCATGCAAAGCCCCTATACGTCAACATCTCCCTCCTCCTACTCTTTCCATTCTCCCAAACAAAACCCAAATTCCATCCACGCAACTCCAAACAATGAAACCAGCAAGAAACCACCATCCAACCGACACCCAACTCACTCACCAAAGTCGATTCACTAGCAAACCAACGCCGTCGAAACCCATCGCAAGAGCCACACCGTATGCATGAAGGATCTTGAAGACTGGGTGCCATGACCATCGATAGCGCTGCAGCGTGAGAGACTGCCAGGCAAGGAGGTTGGGAAGTGCGATGATCCAATGCCGCATGCCACGAGGCGGACGCCGCAGTTTTTGCGAAGTAGAGGGCGACGAAATTGAAGCAGTTGCCTGAAGGTGTGCTAGAATCATGCTGCTCCTCTCCATGCCATGTTCGAGCGAGGGCCCACACGCGTAAGTCTGAGCCTTCGATGTCGACACCTTTACTTGGGTTCGGTGTCGTTCGATTACGAGGCATCATAAACAAATACTGATGGAAATCTGACGTCATCTACCGTCTCCAGATGCATTCGCCTTTACAAACCCTAATTTCTCCGCTCCACTTCAGCTCTGTGATTCAACTGAGTTTTTTCTCACAATTTGAGCATGCATACTCGAGGGTACAAGTCTCTGAGGTGTTTACTGTTTGCCAATTGTTTCCGCTTCTTTCCGTAGCATAGCTGTCGTCATTGCGTCTGTCTGGATCTCTTACGCAATGGAGCTTCTTCTAGTTCGAATTTTTGTTGGTTCGAAGAGGTTATTTAAGTCTGATTTCGGTCGGCAGCGTGATTGAACATGCAATTTTATTGCAACTTGTGATTAGCATGTGCCTGCACGGTGGCTAATTGGCACCTGTTGCTCGAACTTACGATTTCTTTTTAGCTGTCGTTGGCGATGTGCAATAATTTCCTCGTGAGGTTTTTCTGGAGAACAAAGGACAATTTTTCTTAGTTTTTACTGGCGGGGATCCATCAATGTGGCTGAAAATCGCGGGGTTCAATATCAAAGTGTGGTTTAACGTGTGCAGGAGCCTTGTCGTAATTGTTGAGTGAGATCACAGTCTGCTCTCTGAAGAAACGGAAGGTAGTCATGAAGGCGAATGTATGGAGGAGAGTATTGTTGCTGCTTCTCGTCCTGCCTACGCTGGCAGTGTTTGCTGATAGAGACGATGACGACTTTGGACTTGAAGGAGAAGCCCCCCGAGAGCTGCTCATGCTCTCGGACCGCAATTTTGAGCACGACACACAAGCTGCCACTGGTCAAACAACCGGAGCTTGGTATTTTTTTTCTTGCCGTTGAGTATCTTTTTTGCATCCAATTTCGTAAAACCTCGCTTTTTGTTTCTATTCAGTTAAAGTAACGGACATGAAGATACAGACCAAACCTCGTTTTTATATTATTTTCAAAATGGAGTTATAAAGGTTACTGTCTGGAATGATAGTGACCGTTATGGTCTCATTCGCTAAGAACTTTATCCAGGGAGGTACTCCTCGAATTCCATGTTGCTGGCATATTTACATGATCAGAGCTGGTTTTGTGGTCTAAAACCAGCCATGCCTTCGTTTTCAGTTTTGTGTGATTGTGGAAGTGAGACATGTGTAGTTCCTTCTTGTTCCAAGCATTGCATTCTTTACCTTCCTTATGGGTTTTCCGACATCAATTATTGGTTATTGGTTGTTTTTAGGGTCGTACTATTCTTAGATCGGCAATGTGAGAAATGTACTATATCTGAAAAAGCGTTGTTGGAGGCCGCTACAGAGCAACAGCCGATAGCAGCTCAGGTATGCTTGTAACTTTCGAGATGGCTAGACGACGTCTTTAGATTGAGGTTTCCAATTGTGGAGAATAACACACATCAGCGCAGTAATCACTTCACGGTCACTGTCCAATTCTGTACTATTAATTATCGATCTAAAGTGGGATACGTCATTGTGCAGGTGAATGTGTTGCAGAGTCCAAAACTTCGTAAAAGATTTTCACTGACTAGCGTGCCAGCATTGCGCCTGTTCAGAGATCGCCGAATGTTTATTTACAAGGGAGACTGGAATGCAGCTTCTATTTCAGCATTTATTAAGGTCATACGACGTTCTGGTCTTAACTGGTGATGATTTTGTTACAATATTTTAACGACTGATCTTATGAATCGGGTACCATCACTCTGACATCAAGATGTGAGTATAGCTAGACCTTTCATTTCTAGTGGTCTTTATATTTGATACATGTTATATCTTCACTGCAGAGTGGGTGGAAGGAAACAGAAGCTCTAGAAGTTCCGCCTGAAGCATCCGGGCTCTCTGATTTATTGGACGACATCAAGAATTCCTTTCATCCCACAGTCGAGGTATGTTAGAACGGATCCCTACGATTACACGTAATCACGTATTCGGATGATGTATACTACCTTTTGATAGTTTCCGTACATGTAGTTCTTTTGTGATACTTTAAAAACCTTCCAGAGAAGAGGATAGTCATGTCAAAATGAAATCCTTCATTTTGTGCGTTTCATATATGAAATGATTCGCCATTCGTAGATGTGAATGTGCTCTATTTTTGCTTTCTTTGATCTTTGAGTTCATGTTAGCTTTTCATCTTGGTACTCTATGCAGTATTTGGGAAGAAGACCAGGGCTTATGATAGCATTGGGGGGCTTCTTCGCTACAACAACTTATGCACTGACTTTGAAGGTTTTAGGGTTGACTACAAAGAAGAAACCTACTCGGACAGTGAAGAAACGTGCTGATTAAGGGTCGGAAGTTGACAGGGATAGTTTCACTGGTTACTGATCAACTTTGTTTGCTTCAGCAGTTTCAAACAAGATTTTGTTTGTGGGAACAGTTTGTCGAGGACTTTGGACCGTGTACTGGTCCGAGCAATGCAAGTGTCGACTGAATTGTCCACTGTTACTGTCCCAGCGACAAATGTTGTTGTGTCGAGTACATTCAACTGAAGCAATAACAGCTTGTAATCAGTGTACACATCAATACGGTTCCAGCTCAATTCCTCAAATTCAGAGTAAACTTTCTAGTAAAAATGAATACCACCTACTGCTCATTTCATCATCAAAAGTGGGCCAACGGAAAATGTATGGAATGTAAACTAGTTGTGAACGTACAGGTGGAGCTGATTTACACCCGCTACTATTGCATTAAGCTTTCTTCAGTCATGGACTGAGATCTTACTGCATGAATTCGACCAAAAATCTTATTGTATGCACCGCACGGTCGTGCATGGGTCTCCCTTAAAACTAAATGTCTTGATGAATCCGCAACTCCCTTCGCAATGACGCTCTGATAGTTCTAGATTTGAAGAGCTTCAATTCGAACTGCTTCATGAATGCATGTCGTTGCAAAGAAGCTCCGGCTGAAACTAAAACTTCGTGCATTTACCAATTTGAGAGAGACTAAGCAGTAGGCCACATTCTAGAACTGTTAACTCCAGCTCTATACAACTGCAGAGGCTTTCGTTTAAGATCATCATAACTGTGATCCGCATCTAGCGGGGCTGCAATTACAATCTTCTGATCCGCGGGTACAAAGAAGATGACACCTTTCTTGAGGCCTGTAATGTCTTCGGCGTCGTTATTACCAATAACACCAATACCTTCGAAGACAAGGAAGATGGAGGGACCCATCGTTGTAAGCTCGCTTGAGCTACCCAGAGGTACCACAATATGGTCCACTTCAAATTCATCAAATGGTGGGGTGTATCTTGTAGTGTAATCATTCACATGTGTGCCGGTCAAGACCTCAGGTAAACCCTGTATGCATATAAATAAATCAGTTGGATGCGAATGTAAAACTTAGTCATGAAGCCCTACCATTACTTGCATGTGCTCCCAGAACCTACTAATCATGTACACTTAATCACTGGTGTGAATTTTACCTGCTTGTAAGTAAGCATTGAACAAAGGGTTTGTGTGTCCCGGTACTTGGGCGTGAATCCAGCTCGGACTACGTTGTCCGAGGCTGCCATGCACTCGACAATCTCTCCAGACAGATATGCGTGAGGTTCGTTGGCATCCAGGCACACAGCCTCACCAGGAACGAGCTGGAGATAATTCAAGAAGAATACTGAAAGAACCCCAATGTCTGCTGGATACTGCTTCTCGAGCTCTATGACTAGATCCTCTTTCGCTGTGAGCTCTCGCACCTGCCGCAGAAGAATCACTCCTCACCAACAGAAACCTTCCCCAGAAAAACGTAAAAGAAAATAACTACAACAATAGAAAAAAAAAAAAAAAAAAAAAAAAAAAAATTGTAGGTAAAGAACGAAGATAAAGAACTATGATCTCGAATGACCAAAAAGGAAAAAAGAAACATGCCTGTTTCTCTTTGGCAAGACGATTGACAAGCTCTGTAACTGTACTAGCCACGACATCATTGGGTAGGGTCATGAGGGTCGTATAAGCCTGTTTTAGTGCTTGCTTTGCCTCGTTTCTCTCCACTTTGCAAGTTCCGAGCATAATGAGAGCTTTACATGTGTCCTCTTTCAACACAGACCTAAGCTCAGGTACTGTTTCCACTGCTTCTTTCAGCTCCTGCACGTATTACAAAAGTTCAAAATTACTGAAGGGAACAGCATGCATCTTCTCCAAATGGACACAATCAGGTTTCACTGGTGTCTTAATTCAATGCAACGGTAGCAAAACTAGGTCAAGAATAAGAACAATACAATACAGAGAAGCACAGCAGAGAATATCCCGCAAAACCCACAACCCTAAGGCCCAAGAAACGAGTGTCATACCTCTGAAGTGACAAATCCACACAATGCCTCAAAAGGAGTGAGGGCAAGGGCCATTTCTGGCTTGTGATTCGGGTCCTTGTAAATGTGGGGTTGGGACTCATGAAGAGCTTGAGCCAACTTCTTATCTGGATGCGCCTGAATGGACAGTGCTTTCGCCACGGACAACACCTACCAGTCCCTGATTGTTTATGATCAGTTCTATGGAAGGCTCCACCATCTCTCTAACACTCTATAGTATACATTTCATAAAGAACAAAGAGAACAGCCACATTGTGAACTAAGTTCCTGATTACGTTTCCTTCAGCGAAAAGGGACAACTAACCAGAAACTAACACGAGGTAATAAGTCGCAGTTTATCACAAATTTCTCACGAATTTAATCTATGCCAAAGAAAGAGAAGGGCACTGGGAATCCACCTTGAAAAGGAAGGGCAACTCCCCTTGCCAGCGCTCCGCCACTTTGTCCCCAAGCGCTTCCGAATGTGTGTCTAGCCATTCCTTGAGAAGAACCGGAGAATTGTCACTAACCACCCAAGAAGGACCCGATTTGTGGGTACCCATCCAGAGCTCCGCGTATGGTGTGTCTTCCGCGGGAGATCCTACCGCCAAAGCATGCAGCCGGCCCACCTCGCTCGCCGCACCAATGCGACCCCAGTCATAGTGCTGCACCGCGCACTCCAGTCGCAACGTCATGCTCACTGCCTTTCCTTCGTCACAACCCAATTGTAGTCGGCTGAAATGAGGTACTCTCGGCACACAATTACACCGATCAGCTCAGCTCATTCCTGCACTCTTCAACGTCACCCCAAATTAGGAGACCGAAACTTTAGAACACCAAGCAAAGTTTCACCGCATTTCCTCGCAATTGATGGGAACACAATGGTGGAGAGGAGAATTCACGGCAAGGTCACACAATGCACATCGCTGCGCTAACTGTAATCCCCAAGTGTTTCTGAAATTTCAAAGCTGTCTACACCACCACTCGGAATGACATCTAAGGCCTTGCGAGCCAAATCCAAGAATGCGGGACAAGATTCCACCAACCCCAATTGAGACCACAAACCTTACCAGCCTCTCAGATCTGAAACCAAGACAACGTCGTTTTTCCCTGCCCCACACCATTACCACCTTCCTCTCACTAGAATCATTCACCTTCCAGGCAATCATAAAGCATCACTGTCATAAATGTTGCTCTATCGATTATTCGTCAACAACTGAGAGATTGGATCCCTCGATTCACCACCTCGACACCATTGAGGGAGAGGGGCAGCGAGGATTGCATGTCTGAAGGGACAAGAATGATGAGTGCTCATGTCTTCTCCGTTGGTCTGCAATGTTTCGGCTTAGAGCATCATTTGTCTAAATGAAATGCCCCAGATTTCCTCAAAAAAACCACAAGAGGTTGGATGGACGGTTGGCAGTAAAACTCTGGTGCATTATTTTATGTGTACTAATTGGCGCTGAAGTCCAAGTTTTGTACACGCTGTCGTGTGAGATATATTTATAAAATTGACCAACTATATGCAAATAATGGCTGAAAACAATGTGAGATGGGGAAAGTGTTATGCAAATAATGGCTGAAAACAATGTGAGACGGGAAAAGTGTTATGCAAATAATGGCTGGAAACAATGTGAAATGGGGAAAGTGTTAGGACATTCATGCTATGCATCATCTGCCTAGATAACTCTCGTAGATGGAATCATGGCTGAGCACTCGGCGTCCTAAGTTACACCATCCTACCTCGTGTTTTGTTGTTTCTTTGTGTTATTTTAATCTTGGTTTATTTTCTGTTTTATAGCATCTATTATTTTCTCTCTCATGGTATCACAGCAAGAAGGTACCCCTTCTTGCACTTTGCATCTTTTCATTCCAAGCATTGAGTGATCATCGAAACAAGTGATTTTAAATTTTATATTACAAGTTATGCAAGTTTCACACTTATGAGCAGTCTAGAAGATATTTATCCAAAGGAGAGTATGTTGACCATTCAAAGATACCAAGCCAAATAATTATAAGCATTGGTCTATTACTATTCCAAGTATTCTTAAAAAAGAAGACTTATGAGATCTTGTCAAACAACTATCCACTATGTTACCATTGAGCACCACCAAAGGCAAAACCCAACAAATTGACAACATTCACTATAAAACTGACAACACTCATAGGTACAAACGAAGGGCAAAGGTGATCTTTTAAACTTGATCTTTGACATAGCATTATTAATATTTGAGATCCTTGCCAAGCATAGAAAATGTTGGACACAATGTTCTACACAATATTATATTTGATATTATGGTAGTTCTGAATTGGTGGAAATAACTTTGCATGGCTAAAAACTACTATGTCTCCATATTCATGCAACAAATGAATGAAGTACTTTGCAATCTAAAGGTTGTTAATCAAATTCAATCAAATGAAGTCATAATTCACCAAATCATAAACCAATTACTTCTTCATTTTGATAAACTGGTTTTATAAATTCAGTCTAAAAAGACAATGCCATTTCTTTAAGAACTTTGAAATTGCATGCATATGGAGGAGCAAAATGCCACACTATGGCAGCTTGACAATTCAATAGATGAAGCCTTTTTAATGCAAATTCAAAACCTCTACAACTATCGTTTCAATAAACAAAACTCATCACAACAGCCTTCAAGAATATATTGGCCTCAACAAAAACAACTCTCAATATCATAGACAATATCTCAAGAGCTAGTCATTAACTTCAATTATATGCCATTGATGGACGAGGGAGGGACACACCTCCCGCTTCTCTAGAGCTTCTATATTACTTCATTTTCAACAAAACTCTTCTTATGGGCATTCCAACAATAGAAGAAATTTTAATACTACCTTATATCAAAATAATGCCTTGCAAATTCTTGGAGTTAATTTCACCAAAGAATACTCTGGTGAATCCTATTTACAAAATCTTCTTAGTAACAATGTCATCCTAGATGCCTTAGATCTCTTCACACTTAATAATCCAAACAATGATTGGATTCTTGATTCATGATTCTCTACATACTTCTCAGATGATTATCCAATCTTTAATGACATAGATCAGTCACATACTACTATTGACACATCTAGGGAAGGACATTCCTATATAATAGTCAGACAAAGGTTAGTTGACTTATTCTTGCCTAACGGTGAAATAAAGTTCTTAAAAGATGTTTATTATATCCTTGGCTTATATAAAAACATTCTTTCAATAGGACAAATTACTAATCTAAAAAACCTTTGCATATTCAATCCATCTAAATACAATGTCATTTCTTTTAAAAAACCACATTGAATAGTAACTAAAAGAATCCAAAAGCAAATCAATGGCTTTACAAGTTAAAATATCTTGAGTAAAATTTCGTATCAAGTAGTCAATATGTCAAGGACATGAACTGGAAAAAAATGTATAAACTTAGAAAATTTGTATTAAAAGAAAAATTTAAAAAATAACAATAAAATAATATATATATTAAAAGAAAACTTGAATGGCTATTGTCAAAAGATAAGGAAATTAGAGACTCTTAAATCTAGACTAGAAGCAAGAAAAGAGTTGACAAGAGTGAAGAAGGCTTCATTCTTGCCTCTATATATACTATCTAACTAAGAGCTACATGGCGATATTCTATAGGACCTCTAATATGTATTGACCTTAGCTTACAAGACAAGTTTTCTATATATGGGCCATATAGTTAGCTTGCTCTTCAAGCTACCAACATGTGTGGCACATGGCCAACTTATTGACGACATTTTTAACCTATAAAGTCAATTAAAGACACCTATAAAGTCAAAAGAGTGTCTATGAAGCTTCTAGGAAGCTATTGTATAAGATATTATGGAAATAATCTATTTTTACCTATTATTATCTAAATCATATAGGTAATTATTGATTTGCATATGTATGTCCATGATACAACCACTATCAAGGATAAGAACTTGATGAAAAAGTAATTCAAACAAGTGAGCCTTCAGTCAAAGAAAGGTAACAAAATATAAATAAACAAGTATGTATATTGAAAGAGAAACTAGAATAGCTATTGCCAAAAGACAAGAAAACTAGAAACCCTTGAAACTAGACTAGAAGCTAGAAAAGAGTTGACAAGAGTGAAGAAGGCTTCACTCTTGTCTCTATATATACTATCTAACTACGGGCTACATGGCGACGTTCTACAGGACCTCCAATATATGTTGACTTTGTAGGACACATGCCTTGACTTACAAGGAAAGTTTTTCTACGTGTGGGCCACATAGTTAGCTTGATCTTCAAGCTAACAACATGTGTGGCACATGGCCAACTTGTTGACCACGTTTCTAATCCAAAAAGTCAATTAAAGACACCTATGAAGTCAAAACAGCGTCTATAAAGCTTCTAGGAAGCTTCCATATTAAATATTATAGAATTAACTTACTTTTACCTATTTTTACTTACTTCCACCTATTTGTATATGTAATTACTAGCTTACATGAGTATGTCCGTGACAACCTTATAAATCCATACCAAGTCATACAACATTAGAATTACATAATATTAGTTCCACCCATACAAACTTATTAGATTCGTGGCACAAAAGTCTCAATTACATCAACTTCACAAGTCTAGCCTTGATCAACTCAGAGAATTCAGTTACAAGGATATTCCACTTTGTTATAATAAATAAAAATCGTCCAACCTATCATAAAGGGAAGCAAACTCATCAAAAGATATCAAAATTCTCGTCAATTAGAGCTATAAAGTCTCTTGTCATAATACACACCAATATATATGGTCCTCTTCTAGTTGAATCTCTAAGACATTTTAAGTACTTTATTTTATTTATAGTTGACTTCAACTAGTTCTTTTTGATATATTTTATGATTATAAAGAATCAATTACTAAAAGAAATTCAATAATTTTATATAATGGTAGAAAAACAAACTATGCATAAAATTCTTTGTTTATAATTTAATAAAGGTAGAGACTTTATGTCAACGGATTTTTCTATATATCTACAAAAATATGGCATAATTTGACAACTTACAATTGCTCACACACCCCAATAAAATAGGGTGTCCAAAAGGAAGAATCAAAAAAATTTAAACAAAACAAAGACAATACTTTTAAGAAGAAAAGCACCTACTTTTCACTAGACTAAAGTAGCTTATAATATGATTTTTCTTATAAATTGCACATCAACCAAGTCAAATTTTAATTGCACCATGTATAAACTTATCATTAGTAGTAAAATAAATCTCAAATACATAAAAGTATTTAGATGTTTATGTTTTGTGGAATGAAACACCACACAAAAAAATAAACTTGAATTATAATCGACAATTGGTATTAATCTAAGTCTAAGTAATATATCAAAAGCCTACCAAATCTATCTGCTTACTTACAAAAGATTTAAGCCAAAAGTTGGTCATCATTCAACAATTGGTCATCATTCAAATTCATAAGTGATATAATTGCAACATACCTCAAAGTGATCTAGTTGGCTCCAAGATTACTTCTATGATCTCTTTGATCTATCGACTAAACCAAATCCTTTTTAAAAAGCTGGTCAAGATTCATATTGGAGAAATTCTATATGCAATGAAATTAAATCCATTCATACCAATAAAACATGGTTTTTCATTCAACTTCTTCTTGAACATTAAATAATATCAATGAAGTAGATATACAAATCAAAATTCAAAACTAATAGATCCCTGTAAAAAAATAAAAAATAAAAAATAAAAAAAAATACAATTTGTCATTAGAAGTTTTGAACAAAAGGAGAATTTGGATTATGAAGAAACTTTTGTTCCAATAATTAAATGTAGAATCATAAGAATGCAACTAGCATTCTCTGTACAACAAAAATAAAAACTTCATCATATAGATGTTAAGATAGTTTTTTTTTTTTTTTTTTAAGGAGATCTCAAAGAAGAAGTCTATATTACACAACCTTAAGGTTTTGTGACTCCTAGACAAGGATACTAAGTGTGTCAACTTTACAAGGCTTTCTATGAGCTGAACTAAGCACACAAAGCTTTGTACAAAAAAATTGATATCTTTCATATGAAGTTAGGGATTCACTAAAAGAGAAAGAGATTACAATCTTTATGTTATATATCATGATTAAAAAATCCTCATCCTAGTCTTCTATATGCATGACCTTTTCTTTATAAGAAATTATATAAAATAGATAAATTGATTCAAACAACAATTTGACTTAAAATTTGAAATGTCAAAATTAGGAAAAAGTGATCTTACACTCTATCTTAAGGTTAAAATTATTAAAGTACCTCAAGGGATGTTTATGATACAAAGAAACTATGTCCATCAAGTT